TACTGAGTAGTGTGAAAGCTGACCAGGGAATAGAATGCTTTTCTTTCCTTGCACTTCCCTTCCAAATGGGTATTTTGACTCATTTGTTGGCTTGCTTTTGAGGCCAGGTTTGTTGCTATAGTACTGGTTTGTTTGGTAGCGTGTAGCATGGAGTGTAATATTGCTGTTGGATAATGTCTCAATTAGCAAAATCTGGGAGGTGTTTGTTTTTCCCTTTTAAATGGAGTAGAGATGTTATCTGAACACAAATATGTGGAGAGAAAACATTTTCTAGATGTTTTCTAGAGCTTGTTTTCTGGTATAGCACATAAAGGAATGAAGAAGCTGTCTGAGACTGATCCTGGATCAGGTTGCTGTTCAGGTTTGTGTGCTGCATTGTCAACATTTGCTTTATGTCTTTGAGGGGTGAGCAATGAAAGCAAATGAAAAACAAACTGAAGTGTGACATGAAGTTGTGGTATACTTTTTGCATTACTTGTGTGCACTAAATCTGAATGCAGGTGAAACAGCTTATTTGAGCAAAATCTGCATTGTCTAAGGTGAAGTGAAATGGTAATCATTTTTAGTCTGTTATTCTTCATTTCCAGTAGTTTGAGAAGAAAATTTGCATCACAGCTAAATATTTAGTGATTTAATATATAGAAAGTGATGAATAGTAAGTTCATAATTCATACAAACTGTTTGTTTCTGTCTGTTGTGTCATAACTACATTTTTCCACAGCTGGAAAAGAAAGTAGAGTCTTTAAATCATCAAATAGAGGAGACTAACTCAGAACTGGAAACTCTCCTTCAGCGACGAGATAGAGAGAACCAAGAAGGAGGAAATCTGGTAGCCATGTTGAGATCTGATATCAATCAGTCCCAGGATGAAAGGTTTGTACATCTTAGGGTATATAATACTCAGTATTCTTTTGCCTGTCTTCTTATAAATAAATGGACAATGAATTTAAATTTAATCTGCTCAAATACAAAATGTTAGATGGTGATTATACTGGCTTTACTTGCAAGCGTGATTAAGTTTTGTTAGTACTAAGCTATCTGGATATATATATATAGAGAGAGAGAGAGAGAGAGGGAGAGAGAATTTTTTTTTTTGCCCCCATTTCTTTTTCTGTGTGGACTGATGGAGACTGCTGTTTGGGGGTTTCTTCTGTTCATAATCTAGGCAAAAACTAGGAAATTGAGAAAACCTCTTGTTTTTTGTAACTTTTCAGCACAACATAAATTGGTGCAATTTGTCCTTGGCATGCATGGATTAAAGGAAAACTACCATCCTGGATAAGCTTTTTAGAAAAATTTCCCTTCTCTTTAAGAAACCGTCTTGCTGTTACTGGTGTTTCCAGGGCTCAGTGGTACTTCCTCTGCATAATTCAGTGTCCTTTACAGTATTGAAGTATCAAAGATTCCAAGTTCTCAGTGGTACTTCCTCTGCATAATTCGGTGTCCAAAGAGTCCAAGTTCTTGAATGTTCTGTACCTGCATCAAGTATTTCTGAACTTACTCAGACTTTGGCATGAGTGACCATAGCAGGAATTGTCTAATTTCGCACACTTCAGAAATACTCTTAATATATTTTCTTGAAATTAAAATGACCGCATGAATATAGCTTTCATTATCCACTATATCAACACACTCGTCCTATCTGTAACAGCAAAATAGTAAAATACCCCCTACTGGTGCTTCGATAGTTGTGAAAGCTGAAGATGCTTGTGACTGCAGTATGATTTCTCAGTCTATCTTTGGAGAAGGCTAAAGCTTTTGCCAAACCTACCCTTTGAAAAAATGGTCATATTTTTGTGAAATATCTGAATTATCTTCACTGATAATTTTCATGCCACTGCAAGATACTCATTTTAGACTGTCAATTTTTCAGTATGTTCTAAGTGTCTTGAAATTGATTGCATGAGAGATTGCAATCTCCGCTTTCATTTTTAGGAAAAAGTTGGAGGAATCTTATCAGCATATTTTGAAAATGCTTATGGAGCTGGTGAAAGCCACAATAGCTGTTGAGGATCTTATTTGTAGAAAGATTGGTCTTTGTCTTGATGATAGTCTGGCTTCTGGAGATTCTAAAGAAAGTCAGACTATTATGGAAGAAATGGGATTCTTGCAGTGTTTCAAAGCCAAACAGAAGCATCACCTAGAAAAAGGTGAGTACAAATTTGTTGGGTGCTGTTACATAATATTATTGAAAATGCTTTTTCATTTAAATTTATATTATGCAGGGGGGGCTTCATGCTTTATATAAATATTCAATGTTTTTTATGTGAAGGAGGTTCTATACACAGGTATCTCCTGGTGCAATCTTTTCTCCGTCTGTTTTAATATTTCTCCACGCTAAGGTTGTTCCCATAACTATTTTATAATTTTAATCCTTCTAATAACAAAAACACTAAACTGTTCTGGAAAAAGCTGAATAGAATATAGTGTTTTTTTATTTACTTATGTGTATTTTTTGTTTGTTTTGTTTTTTAGAATAGAATATACTAGCCTCAGGCCAGAAAACCTGGGGACATGCCCTGTTTTTAGGGATCTCAAATACATTTCACAGCTTGCACAATATTCCTAAACATAGTGAAGCAGGAGTATCTTTCTTGGTTTGTAAACATCAAAGTAATTTAACGCTGACAAATTTTTGCCTTGCTATACTATTTGAACACAAGTCCCAGCCTTAAACAGGGTCCCTGATGTCAGTCAGTGGCCGGTCCTGCGTCGTTTTTCTGTGTTTTGAAAAGCTTGTTTGTTCTTGATAGATGAGCTGCTGGAGGAAACTCTGACAGAACACAACCAGCTGTCTCCAGTGACTGATGAGGGGTCTGAGTTGAGCCAATACTTAAGTGAAAGCGTTTTTACAAATCCAGACCTGGCATGTGAAAATGAAGAAATGCTGCTGAAAATTTGTCATCGCTTGCGCACTGCAGTGGAAAGACTTCTGGAACTAGTTACAGAATCAACTAAACAGGTAAAATAATGTTTTAGCTGCATAGATGCACAATTACTCTAAACATGTGAATTTTTTTTTAAAGTTTGATATATTTAGTGCCTTGTGGGGTCGACTACTTTGAGGAGAAATATTTTGTCTGAATACACAAGTTACCAGTGAGTCCATCCTCGCCCTCTTAGAGTGCAGATTTGGTCCCTGTTTGATACTTCTTGTAAATGAGACTTTAATTATGTTTTTTCTTCTAAAAGCAGAGGAATTCTTCCTCCTCAGGGGCAGGCATCTGTGCTTCCTTTGTTGAACTTCATGAAGTTTCTCTCTGCCCACTTCTACAGCTGGTCAAGTTACCTTTGAATGGCCACACAGCCCTTGGGGGTACCAGCCACTCCTCCCAGCTTCGTGGCCTCTGCAGACTTGCTGAGGATGCACTGTTTACCTTCATTCAGGTCATTAACTGAAGAGATTGAACAGTGCTGGCCCCAGTATCAACCCCTGGGTGACACCACTAGTGACTGGTGTCCAGCTGACTTGGTGCCACTGATCATGACCCTTGGAGCTCAGTAGTTCAGCTGGTTTTCAGTCCGCCTCAGAGTGTGTTTATCTAGCCCATGCTTCCCTAGCTTGTCTGTGAGGGTGTTACAGGAGACAGTGTCAGAAACCTAACTGTAGTCAAGGTGAACAACATCTCTTCCCTCATGCACCAAGCCAGTCATTCCATCGTAGAAGGCTCTCAGGATGATTAAGTATGATTTCGTTTTTGTGAAATAATGCTGACTGCTCCAGATCACCTTCTTGTCCTTCATATGCCTAAAAATAATAGCTAGCATTACTTACCCCATCACTTTCCCAGGGATAAGGTGAGACTGACTGGTGTGGAGTTTCCTGGATCTTCCCTCTTGTCCTCCTAGAAGACTGGAGTGACATTTGCTTGTTTTTCAGTCCTTGTGTACCTCTCCTGATCACCACAACCTTTCAAAGATATCAAGGGTGACCTTGCAATGACATTGTCAGGTCCCTTAGCACTAGGGGGTGTATCCCATTAGTTTGCTTAAGTGGTTCCAAACCTGATCCTCTTCCATATTCAGTTCAGTGCTACAGTAATTAGCTTGCTCATTAAGGAAACCCCTAATTTAAGAGAAAGTATGAAGAAAAGAAATACATCTCAAATTCTTCTCATTAGGTACCTTGTGCAACCTTGAGACAAGAAGCTACGCGAAACGTTTAGTCTTTAAAAATCTGTTGTAAACTTAAGTCTCAGTTCTATCTTAAATTGTGCTTTGGGGTCCTGATGATGCTACCAGTAGTGTATGGCCATTGTGTGGTTGAAGGACTTTCCCAAGCCTTGGTAAGTTTGCTAGGTGTGGATTCTAGCCAACCTTCTCCAGCTATTCAACCTTCTTAAAGCATCCTTTGTTGATAAATAAGAAATGTCCTGTCCACCAGAATAAGCTAAATGGGAATGAGGTTGCTGTATTCTTCTTTGAACCCTAGAACATTGTGTATAGGAAGGCAAGACATGTAGGGTCAAAAATTGATGACTAAGTTTTTATTTAAATGCTTGTAGTGCTGTATGTTTATGCAGAAACTGATCCTGGAGGTGGGGTGATGATTGTTCTCTTTTAGCTGGAGAAAACGCATGAAATCCATGCACATTTTGAAGAAGAATTCAGCCGCCGCAATCAGGAAACGGCCCAAGTGGTAAGTCAGCACCAGGAACTAATGGAGTGCCTCAGTGAGGAAAGTGAGGCCAAAAATCAGCTGGCGCTAAAGCTTCATAAAGCAGAAGGTAAGAAAATGAAATCAAGATGAAGAGATTCCAGTGTTATTTGCTCATATTAGACATTTGGAGGAATGTGTTATATATATAATATGGGGGTGTCTTGTCCTTTTTTTGTTGTTGGCTTGACTATATAATCCATCTTTGCATTTCAAATCCCTAAGTTACTTGAAGCATGGGTCTTCTGTCTTGCAAATTTATTACTTATTTTCCTTCATCGGCATTGCATTTACCTGAGGCAAGCATGATAGTATTTATTCCTATATTTAAACTAGTGACTGTGTGTGAAAAATACCGTAATCTTTAAAACAGCACTTTGCATTCGAGACTTTTAATCAGCAGAGAGTTGTTTTATGGTTAGCTATTCAATGTGATTTTCGCCATTGTGATGAAACTAAAGTTACATATAATATCATAGCATGTTAGCATATTATGTTTCTAAGCTTTGAATTAGTAGGAATTAATGAAAAACATGCTCTTGTGTTGTGTGCTTTAGTTTTTCTTAATAGTAGTTTCTGAAAAACTCTCATGGAGAGGAATGCCAAGGTAAGGGAAAAGGTAGCAGCAGGTTTATAAACAACAGCAGAATGATCCAGAGTGAAACGCAGTGCGGTAGCATTTGGCTGCGAGAGGACAACTAAATTGTTTAGTTTCATTGTCAGAACTTTAAAACACAACTCACAGAGATGAGATATGCAGCAATTTTATGAAAAGTCTGTTCTTTATTTCTTTGACAAATATCTAGTTTAGGTGTTACTAAAAGAAAAAAAAAATCTGTGTGATATGCTCAAGTCCCTAGAGACATCAGTTATGTAGACCTAAGAAAAACTTGGGTATGTAGCAGGACTCCTTTTTCACTTGAAGAGAACTGAATAATGCACGCTGTCTTGCTACTAATGAAACATGTGCCAAAACCGAGCAGAAAAAAAGAAAAATGCTTCTTATAGCAAAATTCTGTCAAAAAAAAAAAAAAGGAAGATAATCTCATCAGTAGACCTGCTTTTCTTCACTAATAGTTCTTGAGTGGTTGTGGAATTTCTTTGAATACTATGCTCCTTTTTCCTTAGGTAAATTTCTAAAATGCGTGTTAAGTGCTTTATTCCTACAAAGCTCAATGTGTCTTTTTTTCCGTTTGTTTTATTTTTTATTAAAATGACATTATTTTAAAAGATGTAGTCTGTATACGTTTTGTTGATATTCAGGAAGGGTGCAGCTGAGTTACTGCACTGGTCAACGCTACAGTTTGCAATAAAATAACCAGATCTCTACTCCAGTGCTTATGCTGATAACTGACCAGTCTCTCGTTCTGATAAATACATGTTCAGATAAGCCATAAAGATGTTCAGAGTTGCTGGTAGTGTCACATTGCCATAATATTGATGAAATTCCTCTAATCTGGTGCTGACCTCCTATCTGGGAACTGTGACTTTGTTTTGCGTGCATTTAATGCTTTTTATTATTGAAAAATGATTGTGGCTATAGGACCCATCATTGGTCACAGGCTGTGCATCCTCAGTCTAGTTCCCCCTTGTGAGAGTTAAAACTTTAGGTCCACTGCTTTTTGCCTATATTCTTCACCTATGTGTAGGGGGATCTTTGAGGGTTTCCACATTCTAGGATGTAAGTCCTTCAGGCTGAGCTTATCTACCAAAGCAGGGCATCTCCTTTCCATCTCTTTTCAGTCATACTCTGTTAAGCTTACTTGGTCTTTCCAAAACCGTATGTCCTTCCTCCTTTCTGTGAGTCATTCCTGGATTTCTCGGTCTCCGAATGTAGCATCTCATCTCTTTATTTATTTATTCTGGAGAAAGTCTGTTCAAATCATAGCCCCCAGCAGGGATTTTATCAGTCTGTCCTGAGATGGCCTCAGGCTGAACAAACTCTCATATACATTCCAGGTGTTTTGTGGTATCTTGTGGTGTTGCAGACTCACAAAATCTATCAAAATATGTAATTGAAGCATTCTATTCCTTAAGTCATTTCAAAAAGTCTAAGTGCAATATTAATTTGAATCATTTTATACTGTCATCTTCCACTGTTTGTATTAAATCATTTGCTCATTTTTTCTTTTTTTTTTTTTTTTGTTTGTTTTTTCCAAAGATGAGTTTATTTGGTGTTTCATTTGCATTCTGACTTGGGATTTTAGGCATTATTGAAGGCTATGTTGCAGAAAAAGCTGCATTGGAAGAGGCCTTGAATCTGAAAGAAGAATCTGAACGTCGTCTTGTTGTGGAACTGGAGAATATGCGTGAGCGCTTCCAGGAACTAACTCAGGAACAGGCCATTCTTGGTGAGGAGTGGGTATGAAAATTGGCAAGAAGGAAATTCTCCTCTAAATAGGTCATACTGCAATTTGTCTCTGTAGCATTCCCATTTTTGGACTACTGGCTTGGTATGCAACTCAGCCTGGGACATAGGTTAGCAGGACTTTCTCATAAAAGCAGAAAGTCCAACAAAGCAACTGGTTCTTCACCTTTTGGAAGATAATATTGCTAGTAAAGAGTACTACTGTAATTTTCTGCTTAGTTAGAAATGGGCAGTGTGTGAGCAAATGAGGGATGCATTAGGAACAGAACTAAAGGAAGCTGGTTGCAACAGATAATTGGTTACTAATTGGAATGCTAATTAGTTAATGCAGTACAGACAGAAGAGAGCTGAGTTGGAGCTGAAAGAATCTTAATACTGAAAGCGGTCAAGGAGTTATTTTGATATTGATGGAAGTAATAAAATATGCATCTTAATACAGTGAATAGTTTTTTCCTCTGTGCCCTAGCTTTGTCCTTCAAAACGGACAGACACGTGATCAAGAAGGATGATTGTGAGAAGTCTTTAATGAATGAGCTCAAAGTCTGCTAATCCTTTTAAAGGAAAGCATATGGACTGCAAAAGTTGAGTGAGGTAGCTTCATTGGAGGGGATAAGGTGAGGAGGTGCCTTGCACATTGATAAGGATGCCAAAGATAAGAAGACAGTCAACCAGTACATTGCCAAGTTAAATTTGGAAGGCAAGACATATACAGATAATTTTACACTGCTAACTTAACCCCTGCCTCCCATGCACATGGTAGGAGGTAAGACCTGGGCTTTTGTAAGTGTGGGAAGCTTGTATAGGGAAGCGGATTTGGATAAAGGGGAGCTCTTCAGCGCATGTTGTGTGCTATCAGAACTTCGTCCAGCAACTGGAAGCTGGTACTATGCAATTTACAGTGCAAATAAGTAGTGCACAGTCTAGCAGTGACAGCAATGATTCATTAAAGACCAAAAAATCTTAATATAATAACCTACATATGAATATGAACCAGTTTATCTTTTGATTTATGCAAGAAAATTCAGAGATTGCTTGGTGACCATGCCATAGTGTCTTTCTTTTATTTCAGTGAATTTGTGTATCATCCTCCAGTATAATTGTTGTCATTTGGGGTTGTTGGCCTTGCAATTTTGCAAATGTCAAGGTGAACCTTCATCTCTTCTGCTTGAGTGTAATATATAACAGATAGTTTTACATAATATTTGGATAAGTCAGAAGTAAAGACGGGGGAAACAATTTAGTGTATTTGTTGCTGACAGTAGAGAAGACTGTAAAGTCTATAAAGTTTACACTGTGGACTCAAATTTTATATGAAGAATGTACTCTGTGTTGCAGTTATCGGTCCCCTTTTCAGGAGACTCTGTTGCAGACTTCTTACACCCCTGCTGTGTCACTCTAAGTCTTGTGTGCCTCTCATGTCTCTCTTCCAATCTCTTACCATCTTCTCTTGTGCTCTTCCTCTTGCCCCTCTTCAAGTCTTTTCCAACTCTTGACTCTCCAATTTTCTTCATCTTTTCGTCCACCATTCTTTCCTGTTCTTCCTTTTGACTCTCCACAAATTCTTTCAAATACAGTGCAGTCAAGATACTTGTGTATGTTAGCACTGAGGTTGTCTATTGCTCTGATTCTCATAGACACCTTAATAAAAGCTAAAGATAGCTTTAAGAGAAAATTTAGCAGAGAAGTGGAACAAAACCTGCAGTGGTCTAACATAGAATGTCTTGGCTTGCAGAATCTATAATCTTTGCCAATAAGGGGGAAAGAGGCAGGGGAAAACATCTTTTTCTGTGTGGAATGACTGTAGAAAATAAACAAATTCAATGGACTGTAACTGAAAATAAATGCACGTTTTGCTTGCTTTACAGCAATGAATGTGGCATTGAGTAATACCTCTCAAAGGAAGTGCAAAACAATTTTGTGATGTTGTGGGACATGGCTTCTTCTTTCCATATACAGGGAAATAAATGTATAGCAGGTTACAAAGACAGGAGATCTTTTCTAGTACTTTGAATCCCACTAGCAAGGAACTAAAAGGGGGTTTTAGGCATTAAGGATTCTTTTTCTGTTTGGGGAAAACTGGAAATGTAAAGAGAATATTGATTGTCTTAGAAAATGCATAGGTAAATAGCCAATTATCTGGCAACAAACTTGCATGGTTATAATGTAAAAGCCTTTGTATAGCAGCTATAGACAAGGGTTGACATATTCGATCAGGAGCCTCAGGACCTGCTGAATGCTTTTGCCTAATTCAAAGGTAGGCACTCCATCCATTATGCATGAGTTTCTAGTGATATGCAAGATGGAATGGCTTAGAATGTCCTTTTTTGTCTTGTACAAATTTGTATGCTTTGATTTCTAGGGACCCCTATTGCTAATGTAGCACAAGGAGGAGGTTCAGGTTTGTAATGAGTGTGTGTATGTTTGTTTCTGTAATACTGAGCGAATTATTAATGGCTTTGAGTTTATTTTAACAAAGAGGATCAGTACTTCATAAATAGGCCCAAGAGATTACTGGGGCTATGAATGTCTTGGCAAAAGAGGCACCACAGAACACATCTGTGATCCATCAGAAAGCAATTAGAGATATTCAAATCACTGATGAATTTTTAAGTTTTGCTGTTAAAGGCCTTAAAGTACATAATGCAGTTACCTTCATAGTAATCAGCTCCATTTTTCTTGTGAGAGGACAGTGAGGCTTGTAAGCTTCCTGTGAGCTTCTCATGATTCACAGTGGAGGATTATAGTGGATAAATGAAAAAGAAATGAGACTGTGAAATGGAGAGCTAGAAAAAACAGGGGAAGAACTGAAGGAAGTATCACAGAGGCTGGAGAAATGTAATCAGAAGGTATTCAGGATCTGCAGATCAGGAAAAAGGGAAAAAGAAGGGGAGAAAGGAGTGATAAAGACTAGGTGTGATTGTAGGTAACTGGAAGGAAAGGATGCAGGATACCAGGAGGAAAGAAGAAATGGAAAAACAAGCAAGAAGACCACATAGTTTTAACACTTGCTGAAGACTTGTAGATGCCAAATTGAAAGATATTTTTTTTCTCCTCCCACACTCAAATGAGTAGTAAGCATGTAATCTGGTAAATACATAGCTGTTATGATCAGGTTTTGTGGGCTACTCAAAATACACTTTTATTAACATTTTTAATTTTGTCTGTATGCAGTTACATCACTGTTTTGCTGTTGCCTACTCAGTGATGGAAAGTGTCTAATCTGACCACAATGTACTTGGGGTTTGGCATTCTCTATGAAGCTGCAATCCAATTTTTTAGATTTTTGAACAGCAGTATTCAAGAATTGAGCCCTAAAATTCACCCCCCTTCCCCATCCCAGTGTTCTGTAGTACTCTTCCTCTGGCTTGGACTTGTTTATAGTGCCTGGAAAATATGCGAAATGATTGACATGGCTTGAAAAAGCCACTTTTTTCCTTCCCTCCTCGTTAATACTAATTTGAGCAGAATGGTCTTGCTAATGTAACGTGCTTCAACTGTAGCTTGGCATTTGCTAATGGTGATTTTGGAGTGAAGGGAAGGAGGGTGATGGGGCTTTACCAAAGCGGAATTGCATGATCTGAATTTATGTTAATAAAATAGCAGGTTTGTCCCCTACTAAGATGTGATTCTGTGACCTGATGATTTATTCACTTTTGTTGAAGCTGTATGTATGCACTTGGGGGAGCTATGTAAGGAAAACATATTCAAATAGATTGCATTTATCTGAGAGAGCAGCTACTGTGTTTTAGCAATCTATTAAGTACTTTAAATTCCCTGTAAAATTTTATAGCCTAATTACATTAGATCTCCTAGCTTGCATTTTTGACTGAGGAGATGGCCCTGACTGCATTTTTTTTTTTTTTTGGTATTAGCCTTTTATTTCTCAGGAAGCAATAGTGCTGCTTACAAAGCTAAAAAGTTGTTGTTGATTCATTAAGCACCATGTGTGTTTTACTCTTCTCTATGCATGGGGCATAAGCAAATACAGCGGAGTGCAGCTGGTGCTACTTTATTCTCATCTCTTGCCTGATGAAATGTTTAGCACTTGGTGAAAAATCATTTCTGTTGTACCCCTATGTAGTTTCTTTACCTGAATTCAGATTCAGTGGTTGGCATGTTTTTGGGTCATACATCTGAGTGTTGGATGACTTGCTCGGTCGCATCTCATGATGCAAATGTTCATCAGTTATTAGACTCAGTGGAGCGGGGCCTCGCTGCCTGCCGCTGCTCCTCTCTGCTTTTCTCTTTTGCTTCCCTGTGGGTGCTCTTTGCTCTTGAGGAGTAGGTATGTCCAAGGACTTAACCCAACATGACTTCTGAATTTAGACTTCAGGTCAGAAGATTCATTCACCTGTTGTCTTCTCCAGTCATACACCTGTAATAATGGGATTATTTTTAATGTTCCCAGTTAATGGGAAGGCCTCTCTTTTTATGTTGACAGATTCAAGCCTTACAGAGTTCCAAGTCTGTCTGCAGTGAAAGCTGGCAGATGTAAATTGAAAACTGGCAGGTTTGGGTAACCGAAAGAGGAGTGTGAGGGTTAGGGATGGAGCGTGAGGGAAGTAAATTGGGAGGAGTAAGGAGATTTGGGCAGGAGGAGTGTGGGATTCGGGCTTGAGAGGTCAGGATGAGAGGGACTCTAGAAGTGTAAGGTTGAATGAGATGAGACTCTAGAAGTGTAAGGGTGTTGGGGGGGTGCTGTGTGGAACCATGGCCCTGGATATTTCTAACCAAGGTTCACTTCGGGAGAGAGTCCATCTTTTCTTCTACTGCATCCATCTTTTGTTTTGTAAATCTGGTAGTCTTAAAAGCAGTTTTCAAAGATGCATTTGGAAGTAAGTGTCTAAGTTCCTTTTGTCCCTCTCTCAAAATCCCCTGAAGTATTTTATTTGGTTCTTTAGCTGCCCAAAGTACCTGAATGTAATCTCTTTAGAAATGGTTTGTATACCCTGGCCTCTCAATCTTGTTTTTATTTTTGTGTTCTTACTCAGGTCTACTTAAGGAAGTGGAATTTTTAGCAAAGGAGAAATTAGAGCTTCAGTGTCAGGCAGAAAAAGATCATTCCAACCTGCGTTCTCAAATGAAGGTTTTGGAGGTAGAACTTGAAGAACAGTTGCACAGTAACCAAGACCTGGCTAAACAGTTACTGGAGGTTGCTGACCTAAAGCAGCAAATTCAAGTCCTTGAAAAACAGCTTAAAAATCAGCGACAATTCATGGATGTAAGCAAGCATGATACCGCTTTTTACATGGTTTTTGGTCAATACTACTCCCATTTGGTGATCTAGACTTTAAATATGGGTACTCAAATAAGGTGTGTTTTGCTATTTGTAAAATCAAGACTTTTGTATTCTAGTCTTGTAAAGAGCAGACTTGTTTAAGGAAAAAAAAAAATCCCTTCCTTTTCTGTCCTATGTGATAATTTTTCCCTTATGAATTGCTGGTGAGGATTTTTGTGTATGCAGGAGAAAAAACTATCCTCTTTGTCTGCAATTTTAGCACCTTAAAGAAAGTGCCAACTTATTTTTAAATATAATTTCCTTGCTACAGAAGTAGTTTCTCCTATACTTAATATTTTCATAAATGTTCACTCTCTAATAAAAGATTTCCGTTCTCTCTGGGTGGATTGGCAGGAGCAAGCTATAGAAAGGGAACACGAGCGTGATGATTTTCAGCAAGAAATTCAGAAACTGGAAGAACAGTTAAAGGTTACAGGAAAATCACAGACTTTGGGACAGCCCAGAGAATATGGGGTGAGTAAAATCATATTTAGTGACTGAGGGAGTTTCCATTTACTGCAATTAAGTATCAAAAGCTGCATCTTCTAAGGGACTTGCGCTTGAGAGCCTTCTTCCTCCTTTGTCGTCACCCAAGGAGCTGAATTTCCCCACACACGCACCTTATAAATGGATTAACTACATCTATACAGTCAAGAGTGCACTTGCATTACTACTTATGGATAGGGAAGGAAATGTCACACGGGGACCTACGTGCTACAGTAAAATTCCAAAATCTTCATGTTTGTTTTAAATTCACTGGGAAAATACTGGCACTCTGCTCTATAGACAACACCTGATGAAAGGATTTTGAGTCCTGAAACTTGTTTAATCTTTCCAACTATACTAGTTGGTCTGATAAAGGGTGTTACTTTACATTTGTATGCCTTGTCCTGTGTGAAATTATAAAATAGTCCTTTTTCTCAGATGCTTGTTTATATAAAACTTGCTTTCAAAGATTAACTTATGCTTTTTTTGTTGTTTTCTTGTTTTCACATAAATGAACATTGTACAGAACTATGAATTGATTCTGCAGGTATGGAAAACAGCATGAACACCTCCTTAACCCTTCTTTCCTTTCCTTTCAATTTCTTCTATTTAATTAGATCTATTTTGGCTTCTTTCTGTTCTTCATGTGTCAAATCCGCTTCAGCTAGATTTAGAGATAAAGATACATATCTCAGGGTGGCAGAGCAGGTGGCAGAGGTGGGAAACTCCTTCCAATTTGATCTCTTGTCTATAAGTACTTCCTTCTGCTGGCCTCTTGCTGAGATGCATTTGCATGCTGTTACTTGCTGTAAGATATTTTTGTGCGGTGAAGGTAAGTTGAGGTTCAAAGTATGAGATAAAAGTAGTGGCATCAATGATGCACTGTGCCTCAGCCTTCAAGTTTTGTTTGTGACACGGCTCTTAGCAAAACTTAAATGTTTATACTATTAATTGCATTTCCATCTATTCTTTTATGTACAGTCTATGAAATTACGGATCTCAGTGTTAGAAGTGCATTTCCCATGAACAGCTGAATCTTTGGCAGTGTGTGTTTCTCTGCTGACAGGCAGATTGTTACCAGCCTTCTCTAACTTCTGCAGATGTCTAAGGAAGTCCTAGCAGAAGTCGAATGATTACATGTCTTTCTGTCTCAGCTTCTCACTTGCATGAATATCATCTGACATTAAGATTTTCTAAGAACCTCAGATGTAGTTATATGTATGTATATCAGATAAACATGTTATACTATGGAAAAGATCAGATGCTTCTCCTTTTTTAAAGCCTTTTCTTTCTCAAATGACATATGGCTTGTTGAAGGAATGTTTGTACCTCTTCCCAGAAGTTACACGTTTGTGGAAGCTTTAACATATATTCTTTGAGTTCTGTGGGTGTACTTATCTTTCCTAAAATTTAGGAAAAGCCATGTGAAGTATGGCAGGCTGTCAAGACCATAGCTTGCTTTCTATCCAAGCTGTTGCCTGGAATATTTGTAAAGCTATTTCTTTATTGAGTGGACATGTGCATTAGGGAAGAGAGAGATCTGTTAAACCTAATGCTCATCTTTGTCATGATTTGCAACCTCTCTCAAAACACTTCAGACCTGAGAAGGAAACAGGCACACCAGAGAGTTAACCAACCTTATGACAGTTATGAGTAGGATGCAGCATGTTTGCAGCCTGTGCCAAAATGAAATGTAGGGATTTAGAACTCTCATGCAGTTATTTAATGCAGCTGTAGTGTCAGTAATTGCTCAATTCAGGCAGTATGAATGACTGAGACAAAACGACAATGTGGCATTAAAAATATGCATTTCATATGTAAAATCTTGTAATGGCTGGTATTACAATGACATATGCCTAGATCTTACAGCAAGAGCATCTGTGTAGAACATACTAGAATTTTAAAAGTATTTTTGATACTAAAAAGCTTTTTTGCTAAGGTTAGGAAACAAGCCTGTCTTATTCTTGACACTTGCTTGCAATTGCTGATGAGATGAGAAAGGAAGAAGATATATACATAATTAAGCTAATGTGTCTGTGCCTTTAAGCAGTTGAAAATGTAATGCTAATCACTTGGCGTTTGTAACTAATACGTGATACTCTCCATGACTATTAATTTGGTTAAATTAATTCTATTCTTCTGCATTTTCCTTGAGGGTGGTTTCTGCTTTGGTATTGTCCGTACATTACTTTGACGTAAAGTTCTATGTTAATATATAGTGTTTTTAATTTATAATATTGAAGGGGAAAACTATATAATTTAAGAGGCTCTCGATGAACAAAATATTTATTTTGCAAAAATCTCCTCTTCCTTATTTGTTAGTGATGACTAAATAACTCCTTTTAGAAGGAGTCCCATTGTTTTCCCATTGGATCTAGTTTTCACTTTGCTTGATGACCTTATCACTTCCTATGTCCCTTTTGTCCTTTCTGTCCCCTCTCTGTCACGTAGCAGAGCTCTTAGCTTTGCTTTCACATGACTTACTGGGATGAACGAGTGGCAGTTTTCCTGCAGCTCTGTGCACGATTGGGTCTCACTGAGCTCAAATGCAAAGTTTTTATTCTTTTCCTATTTAAGCATCTGTCAAAAACTAGCATCCAATCTGTGTTGACTACAGTGAATTTGATTTTGTTTTGAGTAATGTATTTCTCTCTTGATTCTTGATATCTTCCTTTGGATTGGAATTTCTTAAAGTAATAGAAAATGGTTCTGACATTACAGGAATATATCTAATGCTATTCATAATAATTCATGTAATTTTATTTTTTAAATCAATAAGCAAATATGTCTGATTATTTTATTTGTTTTTAAGAGCTGGTATATTG